ATTATTCATATGGTGGGTATATTTTTGCTAGGTTTTTTGGGGATCATAAAATTGGAGAAAAATATTTCTGGACTTATTGGTATTACAAAAAAACTTCACAATGTGGCCAAGGCTTTCTTTTTTAAGCTATGGTGGCAATTAAGGGAGCACATGTCTTCTTGGACTAAAGATATGGAGCAAAAATACTATAAAAGTTTCTTCACAGGAAACACTGATTATAAAATCCATGAGAGCTTTACTAGAAAGCTAATTTATGTAATTGCAATACCCTCGGAGTTGGGTTGGTGTTGGGTCAACTCCCGTGGATGAGTCGATGTCAGATCATCCGAGATTAAATAGTAACTAAATGATTGAATAGAATACTCATGTCAATAATATGCACATTTTTTTTGAAACCCCTACTGAAAGAACTCAATAGTAAAGCGTGTTTGCTCTAGAGTAATTTGAGGATGGGTAACCCCCTGGGAAGTCTCCCAGGGTGCACGTGAGTGAGGACAAAGCGCGCTGGAATGACTCATGTTGACCTGTGAGGCCAGTCTACCATTCTGACACGTCCGGAATTGCGTAGCTTGTAGATCAGGGTGTCACAATTGGTATTAGAGCTTACCTGCGACAGCCCGCAGTTGTTAACCAGACTAATGCAACGTGGACGTTGCATTCTTAACTGAGGGAGGAGGATGTAATGCCTTCAGAGTTAGGCCGGTGCTAGGCTAACTCTTGTGGATGAGCCGGTGCTAGCTCATCTGAGATTGAATAGTAATTAAATAGATTGAATAGACTACTCATGTCGACAATGTCACATTCCTTTCCAAAAATTCTACTGAAAGAACTCTAGAGTTAGGCGTGTTTGCTCTAAAGTAATTTGAGAATTAGTGACCCCATGGAAAGTCTCACATGGTGCGCGTGAGTGAGGACAAAATGCGCTAGAAGAACTTGTGTTGACCTGTAGGATCAATCACAAGCCTGACACGCCCGGCTTTGCATGGTTTGCGGATCGGGGTGTCACAGTAATTCAGAAAGCTAGTCAAGAAAATATCTTCTGGATTTTGGGCAACAAAAAATGTTTCTTTTGGTACGACCATTGGTATGGGTAGCATCCTTTATCGACCATGATTGGTGGCAGCTATCCACGCATAACGGTGAGCAAATTTTGGAGAAATGAAGATTGGGATATTCTTAGACTTAATTCTATCCTTCCTAGCCATATTGTGGACTTTATCAATGAAATTCTTATTTATCCCTCTACATTGATTAACCGATTTGGAAACCATCTTTGTCTGGTAGGTTCTCGACCTCATCCGCTTGGAACATTGTCCGCATTACCTCTGCCGCTTTGTTTATATTTTTCCATTGCTTGTTTAATTTTTTGACTCCAATTATGTCAATTTTTTCTATTGCATATTTCCTCCATCGATTACGCCTTGATTCTACACTTAAAAAAGATACTTCCTTAGTTTCTAAATGTCAGTTTTATTGAAGGGTGGAGACAATTGCAAACCTTTTTATGGCTAGGGTGCTCTCGCAAGAATTCTGGAGCTACTTTGCACATTTATTTCATATTACCATCAAACCTACACATTCATTACATATGATTGTTAACCATTGTAGCCTTTTTTACACTTAATCTTTCTTTACATGTTCGTATGATTACTGATTTATAATATTTTGGTTCATTTGGACTGAAAGAAATGACACAAAGCATAGGGGAACTAACTTCTAGAACATAAGTATGTAAAACGTTCAAAATCACTTGTAGGTACTTCATGCCTCTGGCATCCTAAAAAAAGTACACTTGTTCGGGGACTTAGGGATTACCACCCAATTTGGTCTATCTTTCCTCCTTCATCTTGATAGATCAAAAAAATTATTCTCTGGAAAAAGAATTGAGCATGATATGGTACAAGTTGAACATAGACAAAGCTTTAAAGGGAAATCGTAAGTTGGCAGGAGAAGGCAATTTAATCCATGATCATCACGAATATAATATTGTTGTCTTCTAAGTGGAAATCAAATAATCAACTTGCAAATTTTCAAAGCTCCAAAAAATTATTCATGTATTATTCTGGCGATTACATGTTGACTTACACATCTCCAGATCAAGATAGACTCGATGGTCAACATCCACCTTATTACATTTTCTTCAGGCCATTTGAGTCTTTAGTATATAGTTTTGAAGATAAAGGTCACTCTCCGGAATTTAAGTTAATGGATCTTAAAATTTTATTGATAAGGTAAGGTAATAAAATATTTCCTAGCTAGTCAGGTGTGTTCTTCCCGATCAACGAGGTGATTAACCCCATTGATACTTTGAGAACTTTTAGAGATTTTATTTATGTTGATGTGACACTCCGGCCCGCAATCCACGTGAAGCCGAGCATGTCGAGATCGTAGACTGGCCCCACAGGTCATGTGTTCTTCAAGTATACTTACAATCACCTTGGATGTTTTAAAACACCTTCAAAATATGAAAAAAAATATATATATATAAACCTAGAGGTTGAGAGCTCTTGGGATAATTTCTTTTCTTAGAATTCTCTTTCAAACTAGTATTTCTGTCCAACTCTTCAAATATATTGTTTTTTTTCTTTTATGGACGACTAAGTGTTATAGGGCATTAGAAATCCCTAGCATGAAAAGATCCCATCATATGTCTTCCATATGTATAGATAAAAGGTTGACCACTCAATTTGTCATTTTGACCATTCATGACTGTTATAGAACAATAATAATAATAACTCATGCACCAATGTTTACAGCAATCTTTCATACTATGTACACTTGTTTTTTTGTTTTTTTTTTTTTTTTTGCATCATTCTAACATTATACCAAGTTAGGATAGTTTATACTACATGTCAAAGAAAGTAAAATAAGATTATATTAACATATGTCATCCACTACAAATAGTTGAAATTTAGTTACAAAAATTTCGTAGCAAAAGAATTTTTGCCACGAAATGAGTTTCTTCGCGTATACCGCATCGGTAAAGGTCTTTGGCAACAAATTTGTCTTCCGTAACGAAATATAATTTTTTTGCAATGAAATTCAAGAAAATAGATATAGCTACGAAAATATGATTTTGTAACTAAAGCTTTTTCGCTATAAAAATAAAATTCATAACAAAAGAACTTTAGCAAAAAAATATGTATGATTTTTATTGCCAAATAGTTTTAGCTATGAAAGATGATTTTATTGCTATGAACATATAGAATTTTCTAGCAAATATAATTTTAGTGACGGAATTAATTTTGTATTACACAACTTATTTTAGCGATAAAATTAATTTTTGTTGTTAAATGATGTGTTTTAACTACAAAATATTTCATAATTAAAAATATTGTAGCTAATTAGATACTTTTTGTAATGATCACACAATGGAATGATACATAAACCTATATTTTTTCTTGTGGTTGTTGAAAAAATAAAGACAATATGTCAAAATGGGTAAAATAAGATTATATTAAAATCGATGAACGATTTTGGAAGTTTTGATTGTTACTCAATGATGAGGCAAATTTTAAATGATCAAATCCAAAAGTAAGTTTGGAGTTATATAAGTTATACATGTCTTAACGGCCTTCAATGATGATGAAGGTTATGAACTATTGAAAATGCAATAGGGCTATAAAAGTTGAAATGAAGATGGAACAAGGGACTAATTGAAAATCACAACAATACAAACTTCAAGAGTTTATCTCAATTTATCTTTATTTTTTCTTTATCTTCCCTGTAATATTTGTATTTTTCTTCCGATTCCTTTATGGTTCGATCAGCTTTATTTTAATTCCGCTTGTCCGGTTCCTTTCTCTTTTTTTTTTTTTAAATTTATTTTAAAGTTGAGTTCGAATTAATTTCACTTGACGAAATTTTCGTTTGGTATCATTTTTACGTACAAAAAGCATTCTTTTTAGAAGCTTTATGGAGTATTATAGGGAATCATTTCACCCATTTTTCAATCGGTTTTCTCAAATTGTCGTAGAAATTGAATATCTGAGTTTTCGGATACAACACAATTAATTATGTTTGTTAACACATTACATTTCTTACTAGTCAATTATTATTTTCAAGAAATGCTTCAAACCTCATTATGTTGCAATTACGATTTACGTAATTCGAACGTTGTTACATGAATAATTTATTTGTAAATAGTTGAAAAATATTTCTACTTCTGCATTTCTGTTTAGAATTGGTAATATAACTAAGACTATGAATTGCTAATTCATATTTAACACTTGTATCAACTAATGAATGCCATCCTACAATGAATTCATAATAATGCATTATAATCCCAAAAAGGAAAACAGGGAAAAGAATGTTATGATATCATCATAATAACATAGATCGATTCATTAATAAATTATTAGTCACTGCATTATTTTATTTGATTTCTTGATTGTTTAATTCTAGAAACTAAATGACAGAAATGCAAAATAGAAAAGAAAATCCAATGGATTGTCGATAATGCAGAAGTTGGATGGGAAATAAAATGAAAAATGAATTAAATTAAATTAAATATAGGATATAAAGCAAATGGAGAAGATAAGCCTAATAAACCATATCTAGAGTTATTTTTAATCCATTATTTGCAGAGTGGATGGATGCAAATTGAGGCAAGCAAATTAAAAAGCAAAATGACGTCGCCCATGCCATAATTGGTGCCAGGTGGCGCATCGCCATTGGATGTTTGTTCCACACAAGATTGGATTTTGGCTGAATAGGATGACACATTCAAGACAGATAAATTTGAATCCTCAGACTGTTGCATGAAGAGATGCCAACGACGATAATATGAATATCAATGGATCATAATAATAATCATAATAATAATAATCATATCACAATAAGTAAAGTGGATCTTTTCAAATTTATCTCACTTTTGCAAAATTATTTGGCTGAACTTTACACTTTAATTTGGCACAACTGTCCCCTGATCATGATCTTTTGTGTATATATAGGGTACTTGTGCATCACTCTTGTTCATTCTTCATTAAATATTTATCCAAGTTAATTAATTACTTCAAGTTCAGCAGCTTAACGATGGCAGGTTTTTCTTGGGCTTTCGCTTTTGGTCTACTTGGTGAGATATACAATATATATATATATATTTGAATATATTGTGTTCGAGTTTCTGCATGGAATTTACCACTTAATAGTAGCCTTACATATAAATATCATGCATATAATAAATAATGTGGGAAGGGTTGACGTGCCGATTAGGGATAATCAACTACGAATGAATAATCGTAATAAACACAGACAAGATACACAGTAACCACGTACTTTCAACTAACACATGCTCTATTAGTTGAAAATATATCTTGACAGTTATATTTTATGAATGTGATGTACCGACCATTTGTAATGTGTTGTTAGTTCATTTACTCTATTTGTAGAATATTATTATAAATTAAATCATGTATTGCTAACTTATTATATATATATATATATTGAGTGTGTTGTCGGTACATTACTTAATGTTAACACCTCCGTAAATATTAAGATTTAGCGTTGAATATACATCTGAACTTGCAAATTTTACAATGTTAACGTAGTTGTGGATATGATATATATATATATATATATATTAATTAATGATAAGTTCAATTATTTCATGTTAACAGGAAACATTGTATCCTTCTTGGTGTATCTTTCTCCCATGTAAGTATGTTTTGCTTATTCCACTGTACCCAATGTAAATACATTTTGAGTTCGATCGAAGGAACTAATTCAATATTATGTTGTATATGTGAAATTTATATTATTAGACCAACATTCTATCAAATATATAAAAAGAAGACGAGCGAGGGCTTCCAATCGGTGCCGTATGTTGTGGCTCTCTTCAGCGCCATGCTATGGATATACTACGCTTTCCTCAAGTCCAACACGACTCTTCTCATCACGATCAATTCTGTGGGATGCTTCATCGAGACCATATACATTGTCTTTTATCTTGTCTACGCTTCCAAGAAAGGAAAAGTGAGTACGTATATGCATGTATAATAATTTCCGTTTCTATAGATATTTTAAAAAATTTTAACCCTATCTAAAAACAATAACCTTTTTGAATAATAAACCCTTCATATATTGTTTTTTTCGCATAAAATATAACGTTAAATATCTAATTTTTTATTATTTCTAAAATTTTACAATACTCCGAAACTTCCAAAATAAATTCTATCTAAATGGAGGATTCGTCCTATTAACTAGTTACTTGTCATGCAAATACAAATACGATTACGAATACATATATATATATACATATACGGTGAATTATATATGATATGTTAAAAATACTAATGCGTACATTTGAATATTATCGGCGAGGGCATGCAGGTTCAAACCATGAAGCTCATTGTTGGGCTTATCATTTGCGGGTTTGGATTTATAGTTCTTTCGACTTATTTCTTAGCAAAACCTTCGCAACGTGTCGTCATTGTTGGATGGATTTGCCTCGTATTCTCTCTATGTGTGTTTATTGCTCCTTTATGCATTGTGGTAAGTTTATAGTAGTATTTCATATAAATATAAAAATAAAAAAATCCATAGAAGATCAATATATATATATATATATAATATAAGCTGATTAATTTAATTCATTTTACAGAGAAAAGTAATACAAACTAAAAGCGTCGAATACATGCCTTTTCTACTATCACTCTTCCTCACTATTAGCGCGATCACATGGTTTTTCTACGGATTTCTGATCAGGGATTATAACATTGCAGTAAGAATATCGATCTTTTTTCAATGTTCTAATTAACTACAGTTGTTAATAAATAACTAATTATTAATGACATTGTTCTTATATTAATTATAGATTCCAAATGTGCTCGGCCTCGCGTTCGGCGTGCTTCAGATGGCGCTCTACATAAAATATAAAAACAGCAACACATCTACTGAAGAAAAGCTTCCTGAAATGCAAATGCAAGTTACAATCAGCTTGTCAGAACAAAAAATGCCCGAAATCGATATCCTAGTATTGGATGAGACTAAAACTTCAGAGATAGCTGAAAAAATCGTCGACATCGCCAAATTCAGTTCAGAATTGAGTCTTATGAAAATTCCGGAGGCTTCCGGTAAGAACATTGATGGATTGAAGCACTTTGAACCCCAAAATTTGGCCTTACAACCTCAAGCTTGATCATGGATTTGGATATACTGTTGTGATGTGTAATGAATTGTCCCTTCCTCGCTTTCTGCCTGTAATTGTGAGTGCTGCTTTATATTCACTTTTATGTGTATATTGTTGTATTTTAATTTACTCAAATTATGAATGAATGATCGCAGGATAGGGATAAGCCCAATCCTTTCTGGTACTAAACTTTGTGCTGCATATGTGAGTTATCCAAGTGATATAAAAATAATGAATATGTGCAGTATATTGATATTTTTGAAAAAATATGTATATTTTTTGTGCTAAAAGAACAAATCAGATATTTTGCTATTTGTACATAAAGTACTTTTACCGTATTAGAAAATTGATATATTTTAGTGGGACAAACAAAAATAATAAAAAAATTAATACTCTCTCCTCCCTTAATAATCTATCCATTGTTTCTGTTTTAATCCGTTCCATAATAAAATATCAATTTCTTTTTTTAAATAATTGTATTATCTACCTAACATTACAAATATCATTCCAATTTACAATATATTACACAAATATCATTATCTTTATATCATACCATACTAACAAGGTTAATTTAGTCCTTTTTATCTTTATTTCTACTTTATTATAATATTATACTAATATTTCTAAAACTCCGTGCAAAAAGCAAATGAATATATAGATATGAGACGGAGGGAGTATGAGTTAAAGACAAAAAAAATAATAATACTACTTCTGTCCTTAACAATCTATCCATTTTTCTATTTTGGTCCGTCTCATAACAAAGTATTTATTTTCTTTTTTTTAGTAATTGTACTATCTACCTAACGTTACAAATACATTTCCAATTTACAATATATTACACAAATGTCATTACCTTTATATCATACAATACTAATAGGGTTAATTTAATCCTTTTACTTTTATTTCTATTTTATTTCAATATAATATTAATATTGTGTAAAAAATAAATGGATATATAGATGTGAGACGGACATAGTGTGTATATATATATATATATATATAGCACTAAGAGGCAAACTACAGAAAAATTTAAAGCGGCAATTCTCAAATAATTGGCAAGGAAATTGTGTGAATGAAGATGTTTAGTTTGTCACATTTTTGTTTGGAGGTTTGAATTTTGGATTTGGATTTTTGAGAATTTTGAAGTAAGAATTTTTAAGTTGTGTTTGTTTGAGAGATTGAATTTTTGTAATGATTATATTAGAAGAAATTATTATTTTATTAGAAGAATTGATATATTGATGTGATAGTTTGAATTAATATATTTAAATATTATAAAAATTATGAGTAATAGTTAAAAGTGAAATTTGAATTAATATGAATATGCTGCATGCATACGTTGTATACACGTATCACCTCATAGGCATATTGTATGGATGTTTAGTATATATAGACGTGGACGTTTGCTATTGGTATAAGTTGTCTATATATATATATAAAAGTTTTAAATGAAATGTGATACACATTAATCTTTAATCTCTCCCGTTCTCTCCATTAGTATTAAGTATTATATAATATATCTATCTATATATGCACTATATATAAATATAATAATAACTCACTTATATATACATATATTCTATATATACGCCACACACATATATACATATATATATACTATATTATATATAATATATAAAATAGTAGTTAGCGGTAAAAATAATTAATGTTTCTATTGACTAATTATATAATAATATCTCAATAAAATATAATTAAATTTTGAAATTAAAATAATACATATATACATACTCTATTTTTTTAATATAAATTGGATTATATTTTTATGGCATTAATCGAGAAGAAAAATAGTATCCAAACCACAGTTTTCCTCTCGACTTTGACAAATTTTTTAATATTCTTGGCCTTCGACAAACACTGCACACAGGGGTGATTTTTTCAAAAGATAATAGTATAGGAGTGGATAGTAGGAATTTTACAAAATCAACTGGTACCGTAAATCTACAGTAAATAAATAAATAAATAAATAAATAAATAAATAAATAAAAAAAAAAACGTTCAAATCCTCTAACCGAACACAAGTAGTTTAAGTCAGTTATTGCTATTATTAATAGCGGGAGTGGTTCAGCAAAATTTTTGTCGGTTGAGAAATATTTACTGATATAAACATATATATATATGTATAATATGAATAGCATAATATTGCCATGCTTTTATAATGATTATTACTCCCTCCGTCCCACGTACCGTGTCTGCTACACTGTAGACACGGTTGAGGGGTGTAATTAATAGATAATTAAGAATGTATTAGTGAAAATAATTATCCGATAATATAAATAATTATAAATTAAGATTAAGATAACTAATTAGTTTAATTAAAATTTTAAAAAAAATTAAATTAAAAAGTTTAAAATGAGATTAAAGTGTGTAATTATTTTTCAAAAAAAAAAAAGTAACATGATATGTGGGACGGACAGAAACAACAATATGGACATGGTATTTTGGAACGGAGGGAGTATTAATCTAAAATATGTGGATAATAATGCAATTAGAGATAAAATTTTGCTCATTCTTCAACAAATTGTACATAAAAGTGTTGTTTCTTTGAACATGCTTTATTATTCTTATCTAACTACCATGCAAAAAGTATCACACACAAGATAGAAAAGATCATTGTTAATAATAATAATAATACTTTCTCCGTTCTACTTAATATGAGCCAATTTTAATTAAAATTTAATTAGTAAGTAATTAATAAATATATTAGTAAAAAATAATTATTACACAGTAAAAATAATTATAAATTAAGATTAAAAAAATTGAATAGTTAAATTACGATTAAAAAAATTTATAATATATAAAATTTGAAATATGATTAAAATATATAATAATCTTTTTAAAAAAATAAAGATAGATTATATGGAACAAATTGAAATAGGTAATAATAAGTTAACAAAAAAAGATGTCTACAAAAAAACCTTATGTAGTGCAATAATTCTGCCTCCCTCTCCCATCCTGTCACTGACGCCACCACAGTCCAATTATCCAAAATCAATTTTTACATTTCAACGTATGAATTTTTTTTCTTTATTTATTTATTTATTTATTTTTTTGCTGATTTTTCTTTTTTTTTTTTATCAATTTTTTATCCATTAATATGAAATTAATGTTGGATAATTATTTAATTTATTATTCATTTTCCTCCATCCCATTATTTAGTTTAGACGCAAAATTTTAGGTACTGTGTAATTAGTAAGTACTTAAAAAATTGTATTAGTAAAAATAATTATAAGATAAGATGACTAAATAGTTTAATTAAAATAAAAAAATATAAATTATTAATTTTAAAATGTGATTAAAGTGTATAATTATATTTCCAAAAAAAATGATAAATTATATGAAACAAACGAAAATAGAAAAGATGTGATAAATTAAGTGGGACTAATGGTATATTTATTTAGTTGATGAAATTTAATTTACAAATTAAATTTATAATTTTTGAAACAGATTATTCAGTGAATTGAAATGTATGTGAGCTATAAAATATTATTATTAATGTGATAGCATGTAAACATATGAATACCGGTAAACCAATTACGTGCGCCGCTTGTCCAAACCAAATAATATGGTAATGGGTTGAGACTTGGACTTGATTAACAAAATCTAATTTTCATCGAAACTTATCAAAATGGCAATAATTTGTTAAATAAAACCTAAAAGCTGGACCAAATATAGCCCTAATGTAGATGACAAAGATATTGTAGTGTATGAAATTGAATATATATGTACGTACCTACATGAACTTTGCATGCACGTGTAAGACATGCATGTTCGATTGTGTAAATGCATTTAAAAAACAAATTGGAAATGCAAAAGTATACTTTGGTCTGCATGTTTATATTTTTATAATAAATGAAATTTTGGAAAAGGAAGACGAGTATTTACCCAATTCAATTCAAAATTCAAACCAATGCATTGATGGTTGTGGTTTCGATGATAATTTTTTTCCACTTTACATTTGAGTGCCTATAAAAGCAAATACTTCTCTCATTTCAAGACGCAAAATATATGTATAAAAAAATGGTAAAATAACAAAAAAAAAAAAAAAATTACTGTGATTTTACGAACTCGCTAAAAACTCCTCGTGGTTTTAAAATTTCAAAAAATCTACTTTTGTTTTCCAAAATATTGCAAACTCTCTCATTTTCTTTAAATTTGACTAACGGACGTTAAATTTTATTTATACTCTTATTTATATATTTTTTAGTTTAGTTCTCTCTCTTATGCTCTTTCTTTCTTCTCTTCTTCCCAACTTCTTTCTTCTCTTCTTCCCAACTTCTTTTTTCCATCTTCTTTTCTTTCCCAAATTCTTCTTCACACGTCTTTTTTCTCAATTTTTTTCTTCTTCTTCTCAAATTCTTTTTCACGTCGTAGTAGTTCCACCAGGTTCTTTCTTTTCTTCTTTTTTTTTTTCTAATTTTTTTTCTTCTTCTTCATCTCCAATTCTTTTTTGAAGAATAAAGAATTGGAAAAGAATAAGAAGAGAAATAAGACGACGGGTAGAAGCTGCTCGAGCAGGAAAGAAAGTAGGAAAAAGAGAGAGAAGAAAGAAGAGAAGGGGAAGAAGAGGATGAGGAAAAAGGGGTTGGACACCAGTTTTTTTTTTTTTTCTCCAATTTTTTTTTCTCCGTCTCTTTTCCCCCAATTTTCTTTCTTCTTTATTTTTTCTCCTCAATTCGTGCAACAACAGCAGGTTCTTTCTTTTTTTGATTTTAAATTTTGATGTCAAATTGATTTGTAATATTTCTGGGTTCGGCAAAACCGAAGAATAAATATTTCCGAGTTTGGTAAAACCGAAGAAGAAATCAACAGTGAGTAATAACTTGCGCATTCTCGTCTCCATCTCCATGTTCGGTCGATTAATTGTGTTATAAATTTGTGATCGATTTCAAATTTCTTTGTGTTTAGCGGATTTAAAATAAAAAAAAAAAATTGAGATTAAATTCAAGAATAAGGAAGAAGCAGCTGCGGTAAAAAGTAGTCATTAGGGTATTTTAGTAATTTTATACAGAAATATATCACTTTATGGACCAAAAATCGCATTTCAGGCGCGTGATATAC